GGTGCTATAGTACACTATGATGAACTAAGAGGTACAATGGTAGACTATGATGAGCTAAGAGGTACTATAGTACACTATGATGGACTAAGAGGAGCTATGGTAGACTATGATGGATTAAGAGATACTATGGTAGACTATGATGGTTTAAGAGGTACTATGGAACACATTGATGAACTACCAGGAAATGTTATATCCTATGATTAACTTAAATGTATTTGGGATACTATGATGAACTAAGGGATACTTTGTGATACTATGATGAACAACATGCTACTTTTGGCTGGAAATACCTAGAAGTACTTTGAACAATAGCCTGCTAATGAAACCTTCTGATCATCATCGGCTCAAAATGTACCATGTAGCTCAGTTTCGCAATGTATCCCATAGATATCATGCTATCCCCAAGTACCCCTTAGTTCATCATAGTACCTCAAAGTTAATTTTAGTTTACCATTGTCATCCAAAGTACCCCGTAGTTCATCATGGTATCCAAAAGTACCATTTGTTCATAATAGTATTCAAAGAAATTCAGTAATTCATTATAGTATCCCAAAGTACACCATAATTCACCCGTATCCAAAAATAGTTCATCATTATATCTCAAATTCCTTTTTAGAGAATGATTGTCAAAGTACCCAGTACGCCATGACAGTATTCCTCCAAAACATCCTATTTCATCATAGTATCCCAAAGAACACTGTTATTCACCATAGTGTCCTAAAGTACGTTGTAATTCATTGTAATATCGTAATGTACTCCTGTCTTCACCATAATGTCCAAAAGTTCTCCTTTAAACTATCCCAGTAACCTTTGTTCATCAAAGTCGTGCAAAGTGTCCCGTATTAGATCCTAGTATCCCAAAGTACACCTTACTATGATGAACTATGGAGTACTTTGGGATACTATAGTAAACAAATGGTACTTTGGGAGATAATATTGAACTATGGGGTATCTCAGGCTACTGTGATCAAATATTAAATACTTTGGTAGACTATGATAAACTAAAATGTATTTTGGGGTACTGTGATGAACTAAGGGATACGATATTGAAATAAGGGTACTTTGGTATACTATAGTAAACTAAGGGGGGGTCCATTTGGGAAATTATGATCAAACTAAAGGGTAATTCTGGGGACAAAGATGAACTTGGGTACTTTAGAATACTATGGTAAACTGAAGGGTATTATAAGAGATTATAATGAATTAAGGGGTTTCTTAGGAGCTTATGATGAACTAAGGTATACCTTGGGAGACTATGATGTAATATGGGGTGGATTAGGAGATTATGATGAAACATGGACTACTTTAGGATACTCTGATTAAGAATAGAGTACTTTGAGAGACTGCAAAGAATTAAAGGGTACTTTAGGGTACTATGGTGAACTCCTGGGTGCTTCGGGAGACTAAAATGAACTACGGGGTGTTTGGGATACTATGACGAGCGAAGTGGTACTTTTGGGAATTAGGATAAAATGAATGTAATCTGTGAGATTAAATATTTACAACGTGCTTTGAGATGCTGTGATGAACAAACGGGTACATTAGGATGTTGTGATGAACTAAGGAGGTACTTTAGGATATTGTGATGAACTAAGGGGTACTTTAAGATGTTGTGATGAACTAAGGGGTACTTTAAGATGTTGTGATGAACTTAGGAGTACATTAAGATGTTGTGATGAACTTAGCAGTACATTAAGATGTTGTGATGAACTTAGGAGTACATTAAGATGTTGTGATGAACTTAGGAGTACATTAAGATGTTGTGATGAACTTAGGAGTACATTAAGATGTTGTGATGAACTTAGGAGTACATTAAAATGTTGTGATGAACTTAGGAGTACATTAAAATGTTGTGATGAACTAAGGGGTACTTTAGGATGTTGTGATGAACTAAGGGGTACTTTGGGATATACTGATAAGCTATGGGGGATCTAAAAGAGACTACGATGAACTTAGAAGTATTCTAGGAGACTATGATGAACAATGGAGCACGGTTTTTATTCTTTACATATACAAGAGTTCTTACATTCTATTACAGCCACTTGCACGCGTAGCGTTCTCGGGCTAAGTCTTTAATCCTAATTTTTCACAAACACACATAACAGGAAGTAGCCCGTAGCAGCTGTCCAACTCCCAGGTACCTATTTACGGCTAGGTGAACACGGGCATCAGGGAAAAAGAAACTTTGTTATTTGTTTCCGCCTCCGCCGGGGATCAAACCCGGACCCTTAAGTCTACGAGCCCCGAGCGCTGTCCACTCAGCCGTCAGGCCCCATGATATTGGTTGAACTACAAGGAACTTCTGAATAAAAGGATGAAATACTAATAACAGGATGGATGATTCAACTCGAAGACAAAATGAGAGTATCAAAACATGGATATACCAACGAGCTGTACATCAGAGAATATATAAGTAGAACAACATCGCCGGCATATGTGACGCTAATATGATTTGTTCCACCACATACAAGAGACCACCATTAGAGAATGCAACTCTAGTAGTACTTGCTTGAGTTGTTGCTCAGGGCCCAGGAGCTACAAAAAACGTATCAGGGCCCAGGAGCTAAACCCTTCAGTTTGACCCTCAGGTAAAACATGGGCAAGTATAACGGAGGGCCCAGAGCTACAGGTCGACCCTCAGTACAACTGGGCGAGTACAACAGCAGGGCCCAGGAGCTTGACCCCTCAGGAGTACAACTGGGCGAGTAAGAATCAACACATTAAGCCTCACATTAACAAATGTAAACTGGGTGAAACATTACAACCCTCAACAACTGGGTGATAAAACACTAAAGTCTTACGAGTATACTACCTGGGTGATTACAAATGCCATATTAACGAATGTAAACAAACCAACAAGTTACACTAAAGTCCGAGTATTATAATTAATTACTCCCCAAAGCCTTAAGAGTTTACTACCCCATTACAAAGCCTTAAGAGTAAAGCCTTAAGAGTATACTACCCCATTACAAAGCCTTAAGAGTATATATTACAAAGCCTTAAGAGTATAATACCCCATTACAAAGCCTTAAGAGTATACTACCCAATTACAAAGCCTTTAGGGAATACTACCTCATTACAAAGCCTTAAGAGTATACTACCCCATTAAACACTGAGAGAAGGGAAACAATGCAGGTAACTTGCCTGCCAGGAACATGGCCGTAAGCCCCAGCAGTGAGAGAAGTCCCACGTGAACCATGACTGCGTCGTCTGCTGCTGTGGGAGGTCACTGCTGCTGTGGGAGGTCACTGCTGCTGTGGGAGGTCACTTCTGCTGTGAGAGGAAAAGGTCAGCACTGCTGCTGTGGTGGGAGGCAGAGGTCACTGTTGCTGTGGATGGAAGAGGTCGCTGTATTTTATTATTGCTAAACACTAAATATATGTACAAAATCTTGCACACGCCCTAATAAAATTAATGAAATTAAAAGCTGTCACAAGACAGTATGGTATACGCGCACGTACATCAGAGACAATGTCCCAGCGCGAGGGGGACACTTTACACAACAACGCTCAACAGCTCAGTACAAGGTCGTCCCTCGGACTGTACTTAAGGTAAGGCTCACTTAACTACGTTATGGTGATGAGCACAAAGATCACTATGATGGGTGGATGGTGATGAAGCACCAAGATCACTATGATGGGTGGGTGGTGATGAAGCACCATGATCACTATGATGGGTGGATGGTGATGAAGCACCATGATCACTATGATGGGTGGATGGTGATGAAGCACCATGATCACTATGATGGGTGGATGGTGATGAAGCACCAACATCACTATGATGGGTGGGTGGTGATGAAGCACCATGATCACTATGATGGGTGGATGGTGATGAAGCACCAAGATCACTATGATGGGTGGATGGTGATGAAGCACCAACATCACTATGATGGGTGGGTGGTGATGAAGCACCAAGATCACTATGATGGGTGGATGGTGATGAAGCACCAAGATCACTATGATGGGTGGATAGTGATGAAGCACCAACATCACTATGATGGGTGGATGGTGATGAGCAACAAGATCACTATGATGGGTGGATGGTGATGAAGCACCAAGATCACTATGATTGGTGGATGGTGATGAAGCACCAAGATCACTATGATGGGTGGATGGTGATGAAGCACCAAGATCACTATGATGGGTGGATGGTGATGAAGCACCAAGATCACTATGATTGGTGGATGGTGATGAAGCAACAAGATCACTATGATGGGTGGATGGTGATGAAGCAACAAGATCACTATGATAGGTGGATGGTGATGAAGCAACAAGATCACTATGATGGGTGGATGGTGATGAAGCACCAAGATCACTATGATGGGTGGATGAGCACAAAGATCACTATGATGGGTGGATGGTGATGAAGCACCATGATCACTATGATCGGTGGATGGTGATGAAGCACCATGATCACTATGATGGGTGGATGGTGATGAAGCACCATGATCACTATGATGGGTGGATGGTGATGAGCACCAAGATCACTATGATGGGTGGGTGGTGATGAAGCACCAAGATCACTATGATGGGTGGATGGTGATGAAGCACCAAGATCACTATGATGGGTGGATGGTGATGAGCACCAAGATCACTATGATCGGTGGATGGTGATGAGCACCAAGATCACTATGATGGGTGGATGGTGATGAGCACCAAGATCACTATGATGGGTGGATGGTGATGAAGCACCAAGATCACTATGATGGGTGGATGGTGATGAAGCACCAAGATCACTATGATGGGTGGATGGTGATGAGCACCAAGATCACTATGATGGGTGGATGGTGATGAGCACCAAGATCACTATGATCGGTGGATGGTGATGAGCAGCAAGATCACTATGATCGGTGGATGGTGATGAAGCACCAAGAAAACTATGATGAGTAGATGATGACTTAGCACCAAAACAAAGTGTATTCACCGATCCCCCAACAAACCTGGTGTGGGTATTGTTGTCTGGGGCGCTGGGTGCTGACTGTGATGCGGTGCCCTGGCGTGTGTGTGGCGTGGTGCCCGTCGGCGTGTGGGGCGTGGTGCCCCGTCAACGGGTGGAGTAGGGCTCTGCTGTGATTACCCCAACAGCCACGCCCACGCTGCCTCCAAACCCCGCCCTTTCCCATCTTCAACTTCACTGATTGGTTGAAGCTGCCTTCAGCATTAGGCTATTGTGCAACACTTACTCATCCTGTGAACCCTAGCGATAAAGGAATACAGTTATCCCCAAATAAATATTTATCGAGGACGTTCTCAAGTGAGAAAGTGCTAAAAATAGACTTCTTGAAGTTTGTCCCAATTTTAACATAAATTCCAATGATGACTTATGTTTCCCGACCTATATCTTGAACACCTCTCAAATGATTTGTAACTAATTATGTTTGAAAATATTGTTGAGAAGTGCTTTTTCGCTTCCTGTGTTCGAAGCGAAAGTCTCAAAAATATTTCACTCCCGAAGAATTTGAATTAAAATCTGTGCAGGCTTCGTCTTGAGGCAAAAAGCACTGCCTTAAGCCAAACTTATACTCTAGCTCTTCCTCTCTCAAACCATATACACTGATGGTTCCGTTCACCCACAACGATGATGCTGGAACTGCAGTTGTCTTGACAACTGCAGATCCTTAATTGCACTCAACTACTTAAGGCAAAATTGTAACATGCTTGTGTCTAAATATGAAAATAGATACAATAATTATTTAAATGATGGTGTCAACAAAACTTTATAGAGCTAAAACTCTATAAAGATAAATAAAGATCATGGCCCTATAGAGCTATTTATCATTATACAGCCATGCAAAAAGTCACATATCAATGTATTATTCAATAAAACTAACAAACTCCTAGATGTTGCTACTTCTCGGTTTTGGCTCAGTTATAAGTAGACGTGGACGTTTACACCATCTGCAGATGGAGATTTTACCTAATGTAAACTAGATACAGCAATAGCTGGAGACTCGACATCAGCGAGGCATTACACATAAAAGAGTCAACACCAGCAATCAACAGCCGATTAATGCACAACTATATTCTACCCACTTCAAGACCCCGAACCAACATAGAAGCAGCAAGAGAAAGTATGGGCCAATAAGCCTTCTGCAGTTGCTTCCATTCTTATGTTTTCATACCCATTGATTTGTGTTGTCACCTCACCTAAAATTTTGTGTCATATCACGTCACCCAAAACGAGTATAAGTATAATGTATGTTATGTCTGAAAATGTAAGAAGCTTAAGAAACGCGTTCAGGCGTCAGACCAAAAATAAAAATGTAAAGAATGAATTTTCGAGAGTTCATTTTTCAATTACCCTCGACAGTGAAGAAAAAGTATGAAATATTGAGAAGATTGGTGTTAGAATTATTAATCTTACCCTTTCGGTCATATTCAACAACATATGTTTACAAGAAAGACTGCTACTAAAATATACTATTAATATATATATATATATATATATATATATATATATATATATATATATATATATATATATATATGTCGTACCTAGTAGCCAGAACTCACTTTTCAGCCTACTATTCAAGGCCCGATTTGCCTAATAAGCCAAGTTTTCCTGAGCCTATTAATATATTTACTATAATTTTTTTCTTATGAAATGATAAAGCAACCCTTTTCTCTATGTATGAGGTCAATTTTTTTTTATTGGAGTTAAAATTAACGTAGATATATGACCGAACCTAACCAACCCTACCTAACCTAACCTAACCTATATTTATAGGTTAGGTTAGGTTAGGTAGCCAAAAAAAGTTAGGTTAGGTTAGGTATAGGTAGGTTAGGTAGACGAAAAACATTAATTCATGAAAACTTGGCTTATTAGGCAAATCGGGCCTTTCATAGTAGGCTGAGAAGTGAGTTCTGGCTATTAGGTACGACATATATATATATATATTATATATAATCGTACCTAGTAGCCAGAACGCACTTTTCAGCCTACTATGCAAGGCCCGATTTGCCTAATAAGCCAAGTTTTCCTGAATTAATATATTTTCTCTAATTTTTTTCTTATGAAATGATGAAGCTACCCATTTCATTATGTATGAGGTCATTTTTTTTTTATTGGAGTTAAAATTAACGTAGATATATGACCGAACCTAACCAAACCTACCTAACCTAACCTACCTATATTTATAGGTTTGGTTAGGTTAGGTTGCCGAAAAAGTTAGGTTAGGTTAGGTTTGGTAAGTTAGGTAGTCGAAAAACAATTAATTCATGAAAACTTGGCTTATTAAGCAAATTGGGCCTTGCATAGTAGGCTGAGAAGTGCGTTCTGGCTACTAGGTACGACATATATATATATATATATATATATATATATATATATATATATATGTCGTACCTAGTAGCCAGAACTCACTTCTCAGCCTACTATTCAAGGCCCGATTTGCCTAATAAGCCAAGTTTTCTTGAATTAATATATTTACTATAATTTTTTTCTTATGAAATGATAAACCAACCCTTTTCTCTATGTATGAGGTCAATTTTTTTTTATTGGAGTTAAAATTAACGTAGATATATGACCGAACCTAAGCAACCCTACCTAACCTAACCTAACCTATATTTATAGGTAAGGTTAGGTTAGGTAGCCAAAAAAAGCTAGGTTAGGTTAGGTTAGGTAGATTAGGTAGACGAAAAAACATTAATTCATGAAAAACTTGGCTTATTAGGCAAATCAGGCCTTGAATAGTAGGCTGAGAAGTGCGTTCTGGCTATTAGGTACGACATATATATATATATATATATATATATATATATGTCGTACCTAATAGCCAGAACGCACTTCTCAGCCTACTATTCAAGGCCCGATTTGCCTAATAAGCCAAGTTTTCATGAATTAATGTTTTTCGTCTACCTAGCCTACCTAACCTAACCTAACCTAGCTTTTTTTGGCTACCTAACCTAATCTTACCAATAAATATAGGTTAGGTTAGGTTAGGTAGGGTTGGTTAGGTTCGGTCATATATCTACGTTAATTTTAACTCCAATAAAAAAAATTGACCTCATGCATAGAGAAAAGGGTTGCTTTATCATTTCATAAGAAAAAAATTATAGGAAATATATTAATTCAGGAAAACTTGGCTTATTAGGCAAATCGGGCCTTGAATATTAGGCTGAGAAGTGAGTTCTGGCTACTAGGTACGACATATATATATATATATATATATATATATATATATATATATATATATATATGTCGTACCTAGTAGCCAGAACGCACTTCTCAGCCAACTATGCAAGGCCCAATTTGCCTAATAAGCCAAGTTTTCATGAATTAATGTTTTTTCGACTACCTAACCTACTAACCTAACCTAACCTAACTTTTCTGCTACCTAACCTAACCTAACCTATAAAGATAGGTTAGGTTAGGTTAGGTAGGGTTGGTTAGGTTTGGTCATATATCTACGTTAATTTTAACTCCAATAAAAAAATTTGACCTTATATATAATGAAAGGGGGTAGCTTTATCATTTCATAAGAAAAAATTAGAGAAAATATATTAATTCAGGAAAACTTGGCTTATTAGGCAAATCGTACCTAGTAGCCAGAACGCACTTCTCAGCCTACTATGCAAGGCCCGATTTGCCTAATAAGCCAAGTTTTCCTGAATTAATATTATTTCTCTAATTTTTTTCTTATGACATGATAAAGCTACCCCATTTCATTATGTATGAGGTCAATTTTTTTTATTGGAGTTAAAATTAACGTAGATATATGACCGAACCTAACCAACCCTACCTACCCTAACCTAACCTATCTTTATAGGTTAGGATAGGTTAGGTAGCCGAAAACGTTAGGTTAGGTTAGGTTAGGTAGGTTAGGTAGACGAAAAACCATTAATTCATGAAAACTTGGCTTATTAGGCAATTGGGCCTTGCATAGTAGGCTGGAGAATTGCGTTCTGGCTACTAGGTACGACATATATATATATATATATATATATATATATATATATATATATATATATATATATATATATATGTCGTACCTAGTAGCCAGAACGCACTTCTCAGCCTACTATGCAAGGCTAGATTTGCCTAATAAGCCAAGTTTTCCTGAATTAATATATTTTCTTGATTTTTTTCTTATGAAATGATAAAGCTACCCATTTCATAATGTATGAGGTCAATTTGTTTTTATTGGAGTTAAAATTAACGTAGATATAACCTAACCAAACCTAATCAACCCTACCTAACCTATGTTTGTAGGTTAGGTTAGGTTAGGTAGCCGAAAACGTTAGTTTAGATTAGGTTAGGTAGGTTAGGTAGTCGAAAAACAATTAATTCATGAAAACTTGGCTTATTAGGCAAATCGAGCCTTGCGTATTAGGCTGAGAAGTGCGTTCTGGCTACTAGGTACGAAATATATATATATATATATATATATATATATATATATATATATATATATATATATATATATATATATATATATATATATATATATATATTATTAATATGACCGAAAAAGTAAGATTAATAATTCTAACACGAATTTCTCAATCTTTCGTACATTACGCTTCACTGTTGGAGGTAAAACAAAAATCACTTCTCCAAAATTCATTTTTATTTCTAGTCTGACGCGACACGGGCGCGTTTCGTAAAAACTTATTACATTTTCAAAGACTTCACAAATACACAACTGATTAGAACTTGCGTTTCCCTGATTTATATCTACATTTGAGTGAGGTGGGAAGGGTGATGTGGCATTACATTTGAGTGAGGTGGGAAGGATGATGTGGCATTAACACAATGATGTGACAGAACACTAGAGGATATTAATAGGGTATTAAAAGTATCAACACAAGACAGAACAGAAACAATGGGTATTGAATAGAAGTGTTTGTAGAAAGCCTATTGGTCCATATTTCTTGATGCTTCTATATTGGAGCGGAGTCTTGAGGTGGGTAGAATATAGTTGTGCAATAATTGGCTGTTGATTGCCGGTGTTGACTTCTTGATGTGTAGTGCCTCGCAAACGTCAAGCCGCCTGCTATCGCTGTATCTATCGATGAT